ATAGAACGTTGGATTTTCTTAATTCATTTTTTACTTCCAAATATTTTCATTTCCTTCAGTTCAGTCAAGTTCTGCGATTCTGTTTGTAACTTTTTTCCCCACTACTTCTTCATTTCTCCTTTGGTTGTTCAAATTAATTTATTTTTGCTTATTGTTTCAGATTGATGCAATTCCATTCCCATTCAAATCAGTAGAAGATTACGAAAAAAGTGTTCGGCAGCCAGTGGGGAAAGTGTTCGTACCCACAACCGCCAGTAGAAAGTTAACTGCTCCACCTGTTGTAACCAAATTAGGAACTGTAATAGAACCCATGGATTCATCTCAGTTATTGAAAACTGATATTTTAAAGTTAAATAAATGAACGTTTTATTTTGAAGCTTGTCGGTCTATTTCAACTAATTCCACTGGTCGACACGGGTTGGTCTGCCAAAAAAATAGAAATTGAGGCCAGGTTGATTTTAGTGCCTACTGATTCTGAACCTGACCTTTATTTTTGTGGACCAGTTTAGTATTTTCTAAAAAAGTCTTAATTTTCTCCAGAAATCAAACTTTGCTGTGTTAAATTCAATCATCCAGAAATTCTGAGCCTAGCGAAGAGAAATCAAGGTAATTTCTGGATTCAGCAGCCTAAAATATGAAGCGAATTTTGCTGAACAATGACGTACCTTTACCTTTTACCTCTCGTCCAAAAAATAAAGTCATTGTTAGTCATTGAAGTACCTTTTCCCCCTCTTTGCTTCTGTTCATTTTTAATTGACTAAGAGACATTTTTAAAAGTCTTCTTTGAAAAAAATTCGTTCCTCACTTCAACAATCATAGACCGCAGTAATTAGTATCTGAAAAAATTTGACATGAAAAACAAGCTTGTCTGTCGGCAAAAGTTCCAAGCAAAGATGTTGAAGTATTGATGTTTGAAAGCAAGTCAGTACGTAATGCTTATTTTTACTGTTATCATATATTTTTGCTGCGATCTATCAAAAGTCACCTGCAAACTGTTTGGACTGACTGTCTCTTGTTTGCAGATGTGGAGCATGGTGATGAGTCTTAAACTAACAAGACAGGGAACGAAGAGCAAACAGATATCTAAACTTATCTCTTTAAACTTTGCTTTGAGTCTGATCAGGTGCAATCATAGTCATGTAATATCTTGAGACAGAGCATTTAAATTGAGCATACTGATTAAGTAGGGTAACAAACTTCCTAAAAGTTAGCATACAGATGGCCGAAGTCAGGAAATGCATACCTGTAATTTTGACATTGGAAGTCTCCGCTCATGTTTTAATTTTTTCAAAAGAAAATGAACAAATAGCTTTTCTTGAAATTTTGTGTGAATTTTCCATCCGCATTCAGAGAATTGCAGAGAATTTTATGAAGATATTTTTGTTGGTTCTCTTTTGTGAAAATGAAATAAATTTCACTGAAAGATTTCAAAATATTGCGATGAACGAGTGCATTTTTCGACTTCAGCCATCGATTGCTGTTCAACTGAGTGGACGCAACAAAAAAGTAGGTGGAGACTAAGGACTATGTACTATTTGTAGGAGACTTGTGGTGTTGACCAGCTACATAAATTCGCAAATATTGGTGGGGATGCGCAAACAATGGGAAGGGTAGCCTATGGCAGGCCAAAAGTCAAAACGCATGTGTGCAGAAAAGTTGTGCATTGGCATCACTTTAGAGCCTACCAAAGGGTTCTTTTCTCTATTTCTTTAGATTATGCCCTTCGGTCTAGTGAAAATTAACATCCTTTTGTCTCAGCATTTTCACAAGATGCTTTTTGGCTTGACATAGATTTTCTTGAATAAAATATCTGGAAGAGATCAAGTAACACTTAGCAAATGCAAAAAAAAATTGATCAGACAATCTTTGCAGTAATGTGGGAGCATACCTTTGTCACCTTGTTATTTAGCAACTAGTGACTGGTCTCTGCAGCGGTAGAGTCATATCTAGGGGATTTCAATTTACTGAATTTTTAAACAGGAAGTACCTATCTGTGTTGCAATTTTCTGCTACCTTTCATGAGTTTCAAACCTCATGTATACGAATAATTTTCCCAGGGCCTGTTTTTTTTATTTATTACCATAAATCCTCGCTTGGACCTTCATCTCAGAGAGAGAGAACTTCAACTGCCTCTCTCTTTAAGTGGTTAATTAGACGACAGCGGAAATATATCTAGACGGTGGCTTGCATTGAATTTTGTTCTTATCATGGAAACCAATTTATTCTGATTAAACCCTAGCAACTCAAATCCACCATTAAATTGGCGAATTGATTTGAGTTTTTGTATGCAGATTGATTGATGAATTAATTCTTCTATGATTCCGACACGATGATATCAACCTCAGCCACAGATAAGGTCTTCGTGTAGATTCTCTAAATTCAGTATCAGGCAAAATGCTTGTGGAAACTGCCGCAGATAAAATTTGAATTTTAGCGCCGTACAGTCTATGTAAGATAAGGACTTCTGATTGGTTGACAAGATTTTCTGCATGTTCGGCACCAGAGTGAAAAGCACTGTGACTCCACGATTAAGGCAACTTAAATTTTCTCCTCTGTATTTTAAAAAAACTTTACGAGATTGGGGAAATTAGATGAATAATTCAAGAATTATATCTAGGGTATTAGTAATGACTATAAGCCCGTTTGAGTCGCGTGCGGGCCTGTTTCTCTGTGATTTCTTTTAGTACTTTTATTCAGTTGTTTACCAACTTGTTAGAGGCACCGCTTATCAGCTGATTTTTGCACAGGAACGCATGTGCTCCGAATCTACAGCTTTTCGTCCAATGTTCTCCGCTCAGTTACTCGCGAGTGGTTGAACTTATTTATCGACATTTTAGATGTGTTTCAAGGATCAAGCTCCAGAATGGAGGAAGTGAGTGCATTCGAAAATCATTATTTCGAAGGTGTTGAAAAGTTGCTTGAGATATGGTTCACTCAAACAGAATCGAACCCATCGGGGGACTTGAGAAACATACCCCGGTAAGTGACTCACCCTTTGCTTGAATTCCAGTTATTTACACCCGAAAAATGGCCGGTTTTTAGTTCAGTGATTGGCTGTGTGGTTTTACTTTCGGAAATTTTCGTTAATTCTGGAGTGATCGTGCCGCTTTTCTTTTGAAGATAACGGCGCTGATCTTGCTGCTTGGATTGGTCCTTTGTTTGGATATGAAAGCTTTTCCCTTATGCTTGTTTGTCTGGGTTTTATGGCTCATCTCTGCTTCCCCATGAATACGTACCTACTGACACAACTTTTTTACCCAACGTTGAAAGGACATTCGTTTTTCAAGCATCCTTTTCCAGTTCTTCCTCAGATCTTTTCCCTCACCAATTGACATTTTTCATGAACCTCTAGTCGCATTAACTTCAACAAGATTCTCGCTTTGATACACTCTGCTTCTGCTCAGTCTAGTAAATAGCGACTTAAATATGAAGACTACGTAATCTATGAATTCCAAACTGTAAATTTGATTATCGCACAGGATTTTAAAATTATCTTTGCAAGTAGTTAATATTGCTCATTATCTTACCGAGCATGCCATGGATGCTGTTCGGCTGCAAATATGCAGAGTTTCTCTCACCTAGGTAACTTGGATATCAACAAGAAAATGTTTCTCTTTTTTAGTTATAGAAGTATGAGAATCACAGATGCTTTCAATCTTTATTGGTTCGTGCATTGCTGCCCTATTCTCAGTCAGTCTCTGCCTTTGCATTGCAGGGTTTATGAAGTTCAATCTGCTGGAGAAAACCTTGTCCTTCAGCTCATATTTTTTACCTTGACCGTAAAGGGTCAATGTCGAAGATTCGTGTTGACTAATTTTGAGCTATTTTATCCTTTGTAAAGTAAAATGGCTTTTAAATACTCAGTAAATTTAGCCAAAGTTTTTACTTTAATATTTTTGTGGTACCTTGCCATCATTGCCCAATTTCCAGTAAATGAAAATAAATTAACTGGCACAAGATCCGTTTGCTTTGGAAACCTTATTTGGTTCTGGTGAAGGGGAAACAATTAAATAAATTTACAAATGAGAAAAAGAAAAATTTCAATCATGAATTGAATGCTTCTATGAGATATAGGTACCCAGATGTGCAAGATTAAATCTTAAATCAGATGATAAGTCAATTTCCCAGAAATGGTGGCAAGAAGTTGCAGGTTTGCTGAGGAGAAATTTTAAAGGAATTTACTTGAGGAGCTGTAAATGTATCGGGTGCAAGAATTCTCACTTGCCCTTTTTAAAAAATAATAATACTCTTGGATGATTCCCACAGAGAAGTGGTTTGGCGTTACTTGTGGCGTCACTTTTTCCGATTCTATTAGGATTTGAGGTCAATCAGGATTTAATCCTGATTTCATCAAGATTTGAGGAAATATCGGCCGTAAAATTAGGATTTGAGGAAAGTCGGCCGTCCGATCAGATTTTTTTATCGAGCTATTTTTGTGAAGTTACATTCGCCAATTTTTCTCCGCAAAAAATTAGGATTTGATCAGGATTTGGATAAATTATGAAATCAGGATGTAGCAGTCAAAAATCAGGAAAAATCAGGATTTTCCTAAATGAAGTAAAACTAGACACCCTGATTTCTCTCTACTAGTGTTATAGTCAAAAAAAAGTTATTGTTAGGAGAGGGGGCATTCGAAGATAGGAAATTTCTCACGGAGGAGGTCTTGAATGTAAAAATGACCTTCTCGAGGAATTTCGGTTCGATCTTGTGGATTTTTTTTTTCTCTTCCAGGGAAAGTTCTTCGTAAGTTTTGCACCGTCGATTCAGAACTGACGAAAATCGTACCCGATTTTTTCTCTAATCAGTGTGATTTTAACGAAGTGTCCAGGCCTTTAGCTCTGGTTTGTAATCAGAATTTCTCATGTAATTTCTGAGAAAAATGCTCTCTTATCGTCCATGTCACTCAAGTTTTGTCAGGCGTCACGTGCTCAGATCATACCCCCGGGGGAGGGTGTAGGAGTGGAAGTTCAACTTTGTACACTGCCGTGCTAAGGAAAAACGCCGTATGAACATTCGAGAGTTGCCAAATTTTCTCCAATTTAATGTCTATTTTCAAGGATAATTATAAATATTTTCTCTTGAAATGTTTAGATATAATGTAGATTTGATGGCAAATAAAATTCCTCGAAAAATTGGAGGAAAAATATTCACAGATCTCCCTAAACATTCGTATTTAATCGAAGGAAATTTGGCAACGTCTAAAGGCTCATACGGCGTTCCTCCTTAGCATGGCAGTACACTCGTACGAAGAGATTTTCGCGTCTTATTCGAAATTGAAAAAATTTAAACCTGATGCTTACTTCTAAAACTGCCTTCCTAAGGAAGAAAACCGTATGAGCCACCAGACGTTGTCAAGTTTTCTCCGATAAAAACCGAACTTAACGGGGAAATTGTGAATACTATTTTACGAAATTTTCTGACAATTTTGTACGCAAATTAATCTATAATATCTGAAAATGTTAAGGAAAAGTATGTATGAATTTTGTCAAACATACACGTTTTATCGAGGGAAATTTGGCAACTCTCGAATGTTCATACGACGTTCTTCTTTAGCTCAAAAGAAGTTTCACGGAATTTTGCCACCCTTAAATCGGGACGAATCCCCTCAAAGCTCTGTTTTCACCATCAAAATGCAGGGTTGCCACAGCCAGGGAAGCCCGGGAAATATCAGGGAATTTTAAAAAGTTAGGGGAAAACTGGAAAGGTCAGAAAAAATGACAGAAATGTCAGGGAAAACCGTCAAAACACCTTCATTTGCGTTTTCGAGTGGGTTTGACATTTCGAACAACACATTTTGCGTATGTCCAACGATGTCCTTTTAAAAAACTAGCTTTTTTTTAATTGTTAAAGAATTTTACCAAAATGTGTCGGGGAAGTCAGAGGAATGTCAGGGAATTTAATTTTCCATAATTCCGTGGCAATCCTGAAAATGGAAATGCTGAATGAAGGAATTTATCAGAACTCTCGCGGCATGATTATAAATTATAAAGATTTTTAGCTTTATCTTGAGTTTCTATCTTGATCGCGGAGACTGTGCGTAATAGCTCGAGCTTTTTCTCAACTTGACGATCCATCGATTTTTGCCGCGCTTGCGATGACACTGGAGGTCTCGGGGACCGGCGAAGCATACTAAAACCCAGACGGGTAGGCGGCGGCAGGGGTCAGCCATGGGTTCATCAATCATGGTTGTCGACGGACAATTTATCGCGAGGAGCGAACAAAAGCCCAAATGTACCGAGAGGTCAAGACGCGCAAGTCTATGAAATTGATGCCAGGCTGGCGGACAATCCTTTCCCACGATATCTCGAAACTCGCACTGGAAAAAAAACACATTGGATCTAGAGTCCAGACTCTCAAAAACATCGACAAGAAAAAATACTCTTGATTCAATCGAATATTTTCTTAAATCAAGAACCAAGCCTCTTAATTTGAGCGGATTTCCTTTTGATTTAAGCAAAAATCTGATTGAATCAAGAGTATTTTTCTTGTCAATGTTTTCAAGAGTCTGGACTCTAGATCCAATGTGTTTTTTTTTCCCAGTGTGGCATTTTGACGGCGTAGGTCCACAATCACATATCGACGGTGAAAGTCGACAATCACATAACTCGGTTTGCGACGTCGCAGACTTCCTGTCATACTTTATTTTTTAAACGGAAAACTATTCAACGGCAATTCTTTAAAACTGCCATGATTTTTCTTCATTGTGCGAAGAAAATTCTGCAAAGACTTCAAGGAATGATGTCAATTAGTTCTCCTTCAAAAAAATAACATCGAGGCGGAGATTTTCAGACACCGCAAACGAGTTATGTGATTGCCGACTTGCACCGTCGATATCTCTTTTGCCGTGTCTGAAAATTTCCACCTATGTGTTACTTTTTGAAAGGAGAACAAATCGGCATCATTTCCTTGATGTTTTTGCAGAATTTTTTTCGCACAGAGAGAGAAAATCACGGCACTTTTAAAGATTTGCCTTTGAGTAGCTTTCCGTTTAAAAAATAAACAGGCTTGCCACAGTCAGAGAAAACCGGGAAATGTCAGGGAAAACCGGGAAATGTCAGGAAAAATGACAAAAATGTCAGGGAAAATTTGTTAAATCACCTTCACTTGCTTTCTAGAATGGGTTTCAGGTTTCGAACCACAAATTTTGCCTGAAAAATATTTTCAACTATGCCTTCTTAACCATCAGTCAGATCTTCAATTGTCAGGGAATTTCGCCAAAATGTGTCTGGGAAATCTCAGAGAATTTTATTTTCCAAATTCTGTGGCAACCCTGAATAAAGTATATGACAGGAAGTCTGCGACGTCGCAGACCGAGCTATGTGAATGCCGACTTACACCGTCGATTTTCTCTTACGGTTAAGAGTAGACTGTTATTATATCTTCGTGGAGGGATCTAGATTAAACGGCTATTTTTATCGTCCGGGGAAAAATACAGTCAAGTCTCGATTTTCCGCGGTTTAATTAAGGGGTTTGGAGGACAAGACGCATAAGTGCAGTTTTTGAAGAAATCGAGGTATCAATGATTTCATGTAAAACTAGTCTGAATGTATCTTCTGTGAAAACTGACGCTCCGAAATTCCAATTTTTAAGCATCAAAGAGGCAGTTCGCCGTAAGAATCCACGTAACTTCGAAACTTTAAACATTTCAACACGTTATTCACGTCCTGTGATTCAATTAAATTGACCGAGTTGTTTTTATCGGTGCGATTGAATGGAGCTCATATGATAATTTGGATTTGGACGAATTGTAATTGAATGTACGATTGACAGCTACAACTGCAGAGAGTAGGGCAGCCTTTTTTTCTAAGTAACTAGCGATTCAACGTGACGTTTATTCCGCCCCAGAACGACCCTACCGCGTGAAAACACATATTACTGTCAAAAATACCGAAAGGCCACAGAAGTCCGCCAGTTATCGATTTTCTTCCCGCCACAGACTGGAACCATATTATTTACGGAGAGACTGTAAGTCAACAATC